ATCAATCCATCACACCATGTAATTATCAAAGATGTATTTCGCGGCAGACGGTACGTGCAATGTGAATAATGCTTATGTCGTCTAGTCACAAAATTTAGGGGGACTGGGATGCCGTCTCCACTTTTTGCGAAGCAGTCATGCTAGCTAAGGAGGAGGCGGGATGCGTGGGGCACCGAAGCGCTGCCTCCTCGCAACCCAGCCATCGCGAAGGACACACCGGGCGTCGGGGATCGCGGGACGATCTCCGGCCACCGTAAGCGCGGGCCTGCGGACGGCGAGCATGGGTGGCTCCTCGTCCGACCAGAAACAGACCCGAGCGTACGGCGCGTCGCCTCAAAGAGCCATCAGACCACCACAGATGGGGTCAGTAAGAGTCTGACACTCCCTCCCGCCTCACCCAAGCGGGAGAAGTCATTCGATGATTTTCCCCCCTTAAAAAAAAAAAGTCACAAAATTTGTAGGCATTATTCATGTGGGTATTTCTTTGAAAACATTTGTTAACTAAAAAATGAAAGCTTTGGTTATGGTTTTAACTTTACTTCATACATCGAAAGTAGTCCTTATGGCAAGTTGTTTTGCCGCGGGACGAAAACGAAATAGATTCCACGGTGTACAATAGCACGAAGTTCGGTATTTTGATTTTGACATTAACGTTGAATTTCTTTTCTTCCTAGATCATGCCAGAAGTACACCCCGCGTTCGCCAACTCTGGCAAGAAAGCCGGAATCGAAGTCTGGAGAATTGAAGTAAGTGATCAAAATATTAAGATTTTTTTTATGGGATATTCCGGTAAACGAGCTGACGGATCACCTGATGGTAAGCAATCGACGTCGTCCATGGACACCTGGAACACCAGAGGCGTTGCAAGTGGGTTACTGACCTTTTGGGGATTAGGAATTTAAGGATTGTTGGAGATTCAAGGATTGGGGTGATGGGTGAGGGGGGGGGGATAATTAGGCCTCCAGTAACCTCATTCACACGACGAACTCTAGTAACATAAGCGATCCATACCCATACCCAATCTCCACAATCCTAAAATTCCTAATACTCAAGAGGCCGGTAACGCACATGTAACGGCTCTGGAGTTCCAGGTGTCTATGGGCGACGCCGATTGCTTACCATCAGGTGATCCGTCTGCCCGTTTTCTACCACCATATAATAAGTTGTATTTTGTATAAATCTATTTGCTTTTGAAGTATCTTACATTCATGGAGATACAAGTGGAAGGAGGGCAAGAAGGCCTCACGCCTTAGCCATGCAATAGGATGACCATGGCTAATGAAATAAACAAAAGCAAATATTCATGGTGATCCGTAAAATAAATGAATCCGCAAACAGGCCAACATCAGTAGAGTGGACGCGAATAGAGGAACTTACCCTAACTAACTTGTCGCGGAGAACCTAACGGGTAACCGGGGCTCCGGCTCGACGTGCAGGAAAAGGAATGGGGTGGTTTTTAGTCAGTAAGAGTCTGACACTCCCTCCCGCCTCACCCAGGCGGGAGTAGCCATTTGATGATTTTCTCCCCTTAACTCGTCGAGTGGGCCTGCGGACGGCGAGCATGGGTGGCTCCCCGTCCGACCAGAAACAGACCCGAGCGTACGGCGCGTCGCGTTCCGCGCGCGCCTCTAAGAGCCATCAGACCACCACAGATGGGGCCCAAAGGGCCGATGCCGATTCGGAGTCGCGGAGAACCTAAGGGGTAACCGGGGCTCCGGCTCGACGTGCAGGAAAAGGAACGGGGTGGTATTTAGCCAGTAAGAGTCTGACACTCCCTCCCGCCTCACCCAGGCGGGAGTAGTCATTCGATGATTTTCCCCCTTTAAAAAAAAAGAAAAAAAAACCCTAACTTTCACTCACGTTTTGCGGTTTGGCTGTCTCATTTCAGTCTCGTCTATTCTTTGAACAAGACCGAATCAATTACGAAAGTATTGATTATCTAATTAATACCGCTTCTTTTGAACCGACACTTGTATCACGCTGAGCAGGTAATCGTAAATCCTATTAAATTAATTAAGGATTTCATTCTAAAGCCTAATGTACCTTCAATTGACACCTTTGGATTAACAGCCGACATTTTCAGCAGTTATTGCCGTACTCAAAGACGAATCGAATGATTACTTAAAGTTCTAAACTTGTTCATATTACCATTAACTACTGTTTAAATAATGAAGATGTGGCACAGGCCACATGCTGAGCGAGTCTGCATTAGCACAAACCGACATACTTCTGAGGAGAGGAGGAGACAGATTGTGGTATTCAAAAAAAAAAATTTCGTTGGGGAAAATTATATATTTTTTTAAAGTACCTAACGATTTTGTTCTGTCAACAACTTGGTAGTTGCGTTAATAAAAAATAAATTATTTCGACTGTTTAATAGGTACTATGAAAAGGTAAAAAGTAATCACACCTTCATTAATTGATTTTATGACCAACTTAATTTTAGTATTTTTCCAACAAATTTTTAAGAAATTATTATGCTGTTTGACTCTAATAAACGTGACGTCACAATAGACAATCTCTCGTACAAAATTCATAGAAAACTGTCAAGCACCCAATTGTACCCACCTGTACCTAATTACTAAGGAGACCACGTTCGATGCTCTGATTGGTTGGTTCATTGGTGCCGGTGATTGGTTGGTTTATCAGAGGCCTTAGTACGAGTCTCATTTACTTTTAAAGTATTCGAAACGAGTACGCGTTCAGCGCTCTGATTGGCCGGCGCCAATGAAGCAACCGATCTGAGGCCTTAGTACGAGTTTGATTTACGTTTAGCGGCCGGCGTCAATGAACGAACCAATCAGAGCGCCGAACGCGTACTCGTTTCAAAGACTTTAAACGTAAATCAAACTCGTACTAAGGCCTCAGAGCGCTGAACAGGTCTCGTTCCGATTACTTTAACTGTCAAACACCAAGCGGTCACCGGTGACCGCAACCTATTGTTCTATAATTGTGTCTATAATGACGGTACTCAACGAGTTTATTAAAACAAACTGTCACTTAGCCCTCTGTCCAGTTATTTGCTTGTTCAAAGTCAAATAATTATGTAAATTTTTACAAATGTACATAATTGACTGCCTCGTTGGCCGAGTGGTC